GTCAAACTGGTCTGGTCAAATTGGTCAAGTGGTCTGGTCAAATTGGTCAAATGGCTTAGTCTATTAATAAAATAAAATTAGTATATATACTATATACATATATATACTATATATTTAAATATCATTTAACCAATTTGACCAATACTAAACCCTTTGACTAGACAGGTCAAATTGGTTAAACTAGTCTGGTCAAGCTTGACCATTGACCGGTCCATGTCAACACTAAACTACATATATATATAGGGTGCGGTCTATTAAAACAGCCCTTTTTGCAAATTTTTGCAAAATAAGTTTTTATTAGATTTATATAAATTTTAACTTGATTGATATTTTTTAATTATAAATAAAAGTCGATTTGTATAATAAAAAATCAAGATAATTGTAAAGAATAATTTCATAGGCCATGTAAGGCCAACACATCACGAGATTACCCAATAGTCATTTGTTAAATTTAACCAATCAAAATTAGAAATTAATTAATCCCAGATCAGTCTGAAAATCAAAACAAATGATTAAACTCAATTATCTCAAAATAAATTATATGTAAAAAAAGGGCTGTTTTAATAGACCACACCCCATATAAATAATAAATTAGCATATTTTTTAAAACTAACATATTTGTATCAAATTTATTTATTGTCTAACCATGTTACTAAAAATTATATATGCATTGCAATTTGGTTATAAAACAAATACCACTATCATATAAAGCTTTATACTTTATAGACATATTATTAAGAAAAAAAACCAAAAAAAAACTATTAAAAAAAAAAAAAAAACTCCTTGATTCTAATTTAAAATGTTTCTATTAACCTTTTGGCTAAGACTATGTTTCTTTTTACTGGTTGTCTGAACCTTTTGTGCTAAAATAGCATGAGGATCATGATTTTCTTTACTATTATATTTTTTTGTTGATTCTGTTTTTCTGTGCTTTACTGATTTGACCTGTACATGAATTTTGGCACTACTCTTTTCTTATATAAGTGGGTCTATATTACGATTTATATTATATAGAAAAGATGTCAACACTGGAATAGATTTGGATTTTGCTGAATTATATCTCTTAAAAAGCTTTTCAAGGGTGGCTCTAAGTTAGGGACCACAAGTTTCATAATTATTCTTAACAGTTTTAAGAAATATTTCAAAAGATTCAGAATTATGACTTTATTAAATACAAAAAAAAATTAGTTAGATTATTTTCTAAAAATTGATAATATTCATATCATATACAAAAAAATGTGTGAATACTCAAAAAAACTTTCTGAAAAGAAATATACTTACAGTTCTGCTGCTGCAATTTGGGTTGTTTTAGTATCATATCAATTGCTAAAATTTCTGCATCAAATACAATCTGATCCATATTTATATCATTTGCTGAAATTTGATCTACATTAATATCACTTGTAGTAATAATTTGAATTTTATTTGATTGTCCATGTTGATTATTATTCATGCAAGTATGTAATGATGTATAAAAAGAGTCATTTGCGATCATTCCTTGGTAATTATTTAAATATATATAGTTTAGAAATTTTTAAGAGCTTAAATTAAAAAAATAAAACGATCTACTTACTATGTGCAATATATGCAAAACAGGCACGTTTACTAGACATTAAAGATGGAAAAAAATTTAGGGACTCAACATGAAATTTTGCAGCTACTGTACTTGATATTTACATAGTACCCCAAATAGCCCAATAAAGCATGTACATGTATATAATTCTATATTAATAGTGTAAAATAAATCAGTGCCTTTTTTTTGACTTGGAACTAGATATTTTATACTTACTTCAGTCTGTTTAATGTTTGCTGCATCAATTGCCTTCTAACCAAGGCATAAGAATCTTTTAGCAATTCAGATATGACCAGGGTGATAATGTGCTATTCTAAGCAATCGATATTTATAATAGTGTTCCATACTTGTAACAATGAATTAAAATATCTGAACACTATTATATGCCTTAGTGCGTGCAAATATAATATCTTTTAGCAATTCAAAACTATGTTTTATGTAGTTATTAGTGTTATTTTCTCATATAAGAAGCCCAGAGCAAAAAAATACTGCTCAGAATTGCTGTCGGTTTCAAAGTAACTCAAAGTATCTCTGTAATTGCGAATATATATTATAAAAATTAACCTTTAATTCATTATAATTTTTCATCACTTCAGCTTCTGTTAAAGCATATAATATACGCTTTATAAGATTCATTATAGGTATTTTGTAAGGCTTATTTATATTATGGGTTGAATTATGTAACCAGCGCCAAAATGCTTGAAGCACATGGAATACACATAATAATTGTTTTAACTGCGGCCAACAATGACTTAATGCATTATGTTTAGAACTTGAATCATCTGTAAGAAAAGTTACTAGTCCAATATCAGGACCGCATCCAAAAAAATACATGTTATGAAAGAAGCAATTTCAGCATCTTCATTCTCTTTTCAAAAGTTGTTTCTAACTTATCCAAAGTTATAAGAATACCAAGGGGCAATGCTTCTGTAATGCAGCTTGTGCAGAATAGATTAACTGATGTGTTCAATAGTTCAAATGATGCTGAAGTATCTATATAACAAATTTCTCCAGATTGTTGAAATTTTTTATAGACACAAACCGTTAAATTAGTAACAATACAAAGGATAAAGGCTTTTTTTGACTGAGAGTCATATTCTCAATAAATTGTACAACCTTTTTCAGAATTATTATATAAATCGACTTCTTCTTTAAGTTGTTTAAATATAGATGTACTATTTCTTTCACCAAGACAATTACTATGGAATGTTTAAATAAATTTGAAACATAACCATGATCAGGATTTAGTGTATAGTCTGCTAGCAATTGCATGAGTTCTTGATTATTATTTGCAAGTAAATGAAAGCTATCTTTATATATATATAGAGCAGTAGCTAGTGAATATCCACTTGCAAAAAGTTCAATATATTTATTGTGAACTTCATCTTTTAAATACCTAAAGCTGAGTGCTTTTGCCAAATGTACAACATGATTGTGTATATACTTGATATTTACTTCAAGTGAAAAATCAGTCGGATTTCATCATTCAAGCCAAAGATAAATTATGCCTTACATTCTGTATTTCTAATATGTAATAAATTAGGTTTCTTTAAGACAGGATTTCCCTGCTTTTGTCTCACTATGTCACTATGAATACAATGTCTTAATTGTCTAAAAATTACTTTCTTTTCTTGAATTTGATAGCTCTTAGATTGAGGCATTGTTGTTTTTGATATTTCTTGAAAATCAGCAATTTATTTTTGGGCATCTTTAATATTATTAATATTTATCCAAAGATTTGTATTGAATTGATTTATCAGAAATCTTTCAGCTATAATATAGTCAGAAAATTTATGAACTCCAATTACAAGATAATTATAACTTGATGGAAGTATATTTTTAATATATTCAGGCAATATGATGCTCATTTCATTTGGATTATGTAATGATTCTAAATTTTTATAATTTAATATTTCATTAATTCTGTTATATTAAGGTTCATAGTAAGTATAAAAATGAGTAATCAGAGCACAGATTTTTAAAAAAATAGCAGTTTTTTGTAAGAAAAGTGTAAAAAAAAATAGCAAAATAGAAGATAAGAAAAAAAAGATTCTAATTTTTTTATGTATAAAGTCTATTACTATTTCATCAAAATTTTATCATATTATATATCTAGTTTAAAAATTTGGTCTAATTTTTTTTTTTATGTATAGATTTCATTGCTATTTTGTCAAAATTTTGTCATATTATATATCTAAGTTTAAAAATTTGGCGCATTTAGGCTTAAACATAAGGTATGTCATAATGATTGTTTTAGGAGCTTATAGTCACAAAAGTTTAAATATATTAATTACTATTGTACTAAAGCATATTATACTAATTATGTTAAGGCTTAAATATATACTATATAAATTTAATAAACCTATCACTATCATTATAAAAAAAAATAAAATATAGATTTATCAATATTTATAACAAAAAAAAAAGGCAAACATGTTTGATGAAAAAATTTTTTAAAGTAAGTTGTTTATATATACCTGTCAAATTTAAATCTATTGAAGTTTTTAAAAATTGAATTATCATAATAAATAGATAAATAAAAAGTATATGGATAAAATAATATATGTATTGATTGAACAAACAATTCGCTTCATTCTAAACATCTGAAAAAAAAATTCTAAAATGTTAAAATTTATACCTACTTCTGGTAATAATGTTTGGCTTTTAAGTTATGTAGCATCATTCGGTTTAAGGCCATGATCTTCAATATAAATCAAAATTGTAGTCTCATTTGCACTTCAAACAAAGCAAAAACAGTCTAATATTCAAAAGCAGACTATGCAACTATATCTTTTCTCGTTCAATGTTTTTAAATTAAAAACACTAACATAAAGTAACTTTTGAAAGCTAAATTTATTACATTTATTAATAAAAAATCTTGTAAATCTATTTTAAAAAGCAAATATATTATATACTATCTATTACTAAATATTGTATATATTGTAGTTATGCCCATCTATATATAAGTTTGAATTTTAAGATGATTAAGATATTGGATACAAGTATTAGCATTATAAATATATTGATTCTTTATTTAATAATAATAGAATATTATAAAATTCAGGTATGTACATACATATTTACAGTAGCCAACAATAATAATGCCTGATCTGCATATCCAAGCATATGAGTAAAAACATGGCTGTGTTTACCCCTTTTTTGATGTTTCTCAAAGCAATTTTTTTTTGACTTTTTTTTTTTGACTTCTGAATAACCCACCAGAATAAAAAAAAAACACCGTAAATCTAGTGTAAGGTGTTGCACATCTAATAGCCTACAAAAAGTAAGAAAATACCCTTATTTTATACCAAAAGTAACCACTTAGTAAACTATACAAGCAATGCGACACCCCTACACATTAAGTTAATGACTTCTTAAATGTTATAAAAGAACTAAAAAAATAAAACTTTTATCATTATTTAGATGTTCCTTAGTCCTCAAAAAGCAAAAAAAAAGTATATTATGAAAAAAGCAATGAAGGAATAATCCATGCCATTGCATGACTTCAACTACGATCTGGGGCTTATATGGTTTGTTGTAAGTTTTTTGTGGCAATAAAAAGCTTATATTTTAGAAATTATAATATAACTATATATTAAAAAAAAAGATAGAAATATATATGTGGCTTTTTTTGATGAAACAAAAAGAGAAGCAAGCAAGTAAACCTGAAATATTAGAGTATAATATTGCACAATAAAAAAAAAAAAATAGATAGTTGGTGCTGAGTTTTAGGGGTAAAAAAGGCTTGGTAATGGCTTGAGGGTGGTTCGCAGGTATAATTAAAAGTTCATTAATATTTAATTTGAATTTTAATAAAAAAAATAATAATAATTTTTATATTAAGGTTTTTCAAGACTATATTTTTGTTTTATTTTTTTATTAGTCGAAGTAAATATAATGTTTTTATGTGATAATTATCATTTTGTATTATTAGAAAAGCTACAAAATATGTTAAAATCAGAAAAATTGTATTATAATGTAAATAAAGGAAGATCTCCAACCTAAACTTATTAAAAACAATTCGAAAGTATTAAAAAATAATATCCAAAAGTTTAAAAGACTTTAAAAAGGTGTAAATAATCTTAAACCCATTTTTAAAAAAAGATATAAAAACTTTAATACATTTGTTCTTTGGGTGGTTTTGGGCCCAACACAAAGAATCAAATAATATTTAATACACACGTGCATTCAATAATGTATTAAATTATTAATAAAAAAAAATTTTGATGTATATGCGGCCAAAATTATATTAATAAAAAATTTCCATTTTGAACGAAAATTGGGCGTTACTTTTGTTGGCTACTGTACAAATATCTTTGTATTATTTTATGTATAATTTTTAAACTACCAAATGTTACACAACATGCATAGAACTGTTTCACAAATATGCACATGATAAATGATCGTCATAACCTGGCACAGAATTCATACCTAGGTGCCGCACAAAAAATGCGCGGCAGATCCTCGATTTTGATTGGCTAACGGCCGAAGATCTTCGAAATTTTG